TTGACATGAAAGGTATGAAGTAGGCTTGAGTTAGACAAACAGAAAGTGTAATAAACATCCCTCCAACACTGGACCGTACTTGGAACCGCAAATGGTGCAAAAGAATAAATGTCATTTTTGTGCAAATATGCCACACCAAGCATTACTGTACGACAGAATACCGCCTTGAAAGAAAGCAAAAGATTGATGCCGCTATACAAATCCTTACAGAATATATTCCAACTAAAAGACGCCTAATTCATTTTAACATCATTTTGCACAACTTTAAGTTAACGGTGAACCAAAAAAGCTCACCAACTTATCGAAATTAACGGTTATGAATATACCAATAAATAAATAACTCTTTTAAATGTATATACATATATATTGTAAATATAAATATTATTCCAAAATAAATTAAGTAATTCGCTTATTTTACTGACCTGCTCGTTTATGAATATGAAAATGCGTGTGTGCGTTCAGGCAGGTGAGTAACGTTATTTTTGACGGAAATTAGTCTATTCTTTCCTCAAGTCTGCTCGTCACGCATAAGTAATTATAATCTATTTTCCTGTTTCTATTCCCTAAATTCAACTTATACATAAATTTACCGATTTAAATAGCCTCTCCTATTTTTGGGTCTGGCAACAGACGTAACAAAATAGACGAACCGGTGAGCATGAGGTCATAGGCAGCAGGTGAGGATTTGTATCCAGACGTTGCTTGCTTTCATTTACTCATGATTCTCTCCTTCAAATCATTTAGAACGAAATCAAGTTTAGCTCAACAATAATTTATCAGTTTCTCTTGAGATGCTCAATTCTTCTTTAGACCTACAACCAACCGTATATAAACATTATCTCCATTTACATCAAATGAGTAGTCATGCAAAAGATAAAGACAAGTAATCACCTTCACAAGCTCCATGATCTTTGAAATGATTTGTTCCTGTTGATTCGCCGCCCCTAAGTTCTTTGTGAGATCAAAATGCTTGAACTCGAGGGCCTCTGGCTGCTTAAGGATCGCACTAAAAGCACCATCTGTTATGGCCTCAAGCTAAAATGAAAAATGGCAGGAAGCATCCAGAGACTCAGAAGGCCGCGGATCAGAGAAAGAGTACGTAACATGAACTAAATGTAATAAGCTCAGAAATACGACTGATAATCATTTTAAATTGGCATCATCAGTGACCACTTAGTCTATTTGGCAAATGAGGCATTTATAATCAAATTAAAATTGAAAAGTAAAAAGTAAGAGGTTGAAGCCAAGGGGAAGCAAAATATACAAACTGGGCGTCAAGAAGATAAGCGGGATTAAAAGCATTGAGTAAAAAAGGATAAAAAGGCTATATGTTAGACTGAACAAGAATATAACACAATATGCTTCTACATTCAATGGTTAAATAGTGAAATTTCTCTAAAAACAATCATCCAGAATTTCTCACCTGAGCTTCGTGCACCAGCCGTTGTTCAAGACATCGCAGATTTTTAGGCGCCACGAATGGGGCTTTGCCGACGTAGAGGCCTTCTTCACTCGGATACCTTGGCGGACGACCTTGAGTTTTTATGCTCAGCGGAACTGGAAAGAGATTCAAGCTTTATTATAATTATCTTGACATAGCAACTTTTAAAGTGATGAAAGGACTG